GGGTCAGTGCTGAGGGAGCGCCGCATTGTCGGGGGGTCAGTGCTGAGGGAGTGCCGCACTGTAGGAGGGTCAGTGCTGAGGGAGCGCTGCACTGTCGGAGGGTTGGTGCTGAGGGAGCGCCGCACTGTCGGAGAATTGGGAACTGAATGGATCTCCTTTTCTGGTGTAAAATGCTTGAAGAGGTGCCTGACTGTCCTATTTCCTTCCTGGTGGTATTGTCTGTTCATTCCCTTGACTTATTTCACATCGTGTGTCTGTGCATTTTTAAATCACACCCTTAGAACGTTTTCAACATAACAATCTCCCTTTGCTGTGTGACCTCTTGCTGGTGTCAATGACCCTGCTGTGTTTTTCTCCAGATGCACCGAAAGATGTTTACATTGACTCCTCCCAGCTCATCCCGTACCGTTGGAATCAATATGTCACATTATATTGCCTGGTCACTAGCAGCAACCCACCTGTACAAAGCTTCACATGGTACATGGGGACGACAGTCTTCAGAGAACATTTGCCAAGGAAGCAGTTCCGTGTTTCGTATGATTCTTCCCCCGTTCGATGTGAAGCAGCCAATTCTTTGGGAAAGACCTCCTCAGATGAAGTCAAACTGGTCACGTTACGTACGTATATAGTCCATCCGGCTGTTCGACCTCTGGGACCTCCAGCTGATCCCAAAACCATACATTCACCCTCCACACTCTGTCTGAACACACAACCCTCCGTATCTCTGTCACTTCCTCCAGCCCCTACACCCCCTCCCTATCTCTGTAACCTCCTCCAGTCCCTACACCCCTTCCCTATCTCTGTAACCTCCTCCAGTCCCTACACCCCCTCCCTGCTCTTGGGGAATTGTGTCAGTATTTGGTGGGCAGCGGGAAGCTGGATACACACGAGGGTGGAATCGACAGATGGAAATGTGATGAGGGTGGAGTGAAGATAGAGGGCTTGTCAGAACCTGGTGTGGGACAGAAACGAAGGCTGCTCTGACCAGGTTCCAGAGCCAGGGAACATATTCTGAGAAATATTGTCGTTTGGACTGAGAAAATGTGGCATTTCTTCAACCAGAGGGTAGTCAGTCTCAGGAACTCTGTCACCCAGAGACTGTGGAATCCGAGAAGGTAAAATTGGTACAGCATCTTGGTACTACAGATAACCAGAGACATGGAGAGTGTGTGAAAATGCCCCGCCATGTGAAGAAAAGCCATGATGGAAATGATTGGAGGACCACATTTGAAGGGCTCCCCTGTTTCTAATTCTTGAGCACGCATCTGATGGGCTGAATGGCCTGTTTAGTTGCTGGTCATCGGCCTCAGAGCATTGCTTTTTGTCTGTAATCCCCATTAAACAGGTCATCGGCCTCAGAGCATTGCTTTTTGTCTGTAATCCCCATTCTCCAGTCAATCTCCAATCGGCCACTCAGCCCATCAAGCTTGCTCGCCCATTCAATGCGAATTCTCTCCGTTCCCACCTAACCCCTGAAATCCTTTCACCATTCCACGCTCCCCGCCCCAGCAACAACCCGCAGCATCTTAAGAATCTCTTCACCTCTTCCTTAAAAATGGTCAGTGATAGGAAGGATATTATTAAACTGGAGAGGGTTCAGAAGAGATTTGCCAGGATGTTGCCGGGAATGGAAGGTTTGAGCTAAAAGGAGAGGCTGGATAGGCTGGGTCATTTTTCCCTGGAGCGTAGGAGGTTGAGAAGTGACTTTATAGAGGTTCATAAAATCATGAGGGGTATAGATAAGGTTAATGGTAGTTGTTTTTTCCCTAGGATGGGGGATTTCAAGACTGAGGGCCACATTTTTAAGGTGAGAGGAGAGAGATTTAAAAAGGACACGAGGGGCAAGTTTCTCACACAGAGGCTGGTTCGCGCGTGGAATGAACTTCCTGAGGATGTGGTGGATGTGGGTACAGTTACAACGTTTAAAAGACATTTGAATAAGGACATGTATAGGAAAGGTTTGGAGGGATATGGCCAGGAGCAGGCAGGTGGGACTGCGTTAGTTTGGGATTATGGTCGGCACGGACTGGTTGGGCCGAAGGGTCTGTTTCCGCATTCCGTGTGATTCTATGACTCTGCTCCCATTGTCTTTTCTGGTACAGAGTGACCCTCTGAGAGAGAGAAAAGATATTCCCCTCATCTGCCTTATAAGGATGACCCATGATTTTTAAACAGTAATCCCACGATAGGGAGCAACCTCTCCGCATTTCCACCCCTGTCAATACCCCTCAGGATATTGTGTTTTTGTATCAGGTCACCTCTCTGTCTTCCCATCTCTGGCAGAATACAATCCCAACCTTTCCTCATCAGGCAGCCTATTCTGTCTCTCTAGTAAACCTTCCCTAAGCTGCTTGCAACACTCTTCCTTAAATAAGGAGGCCAATATTGCACACTGTACTCCAGATGTGGCCCTATATAAGTAACTCCCTACCTTTGGATTAAATTCTCTTTGTGAGAAACATTCTACGAGCTTTCTGGATTACTTGCTTTACCTGCGGACTGACCTTATGAGATTCATGCACTCGAACACCCAAATCCCACTGCATCTCCGAGCTTTGCAATCTCTTACTATTTCAATAATGTGTATCTCCTGTTTTATAGAACCGGGCACTTGGGGAGTGTGGAGTCCCCTTGCAGTGCGAGCTCGCACAGGTTCATGTGCGGTTATCCCATGTGAGTTCAAGCACCCTACCACGATATCAGACAAGGTGAAGAAGATTGCAATGTGGCTGCAAGACCATCACTACCATGGAAATAAAGTTTATCACAATGAAGAGGTGGGACAAGCTGATTACAGGCGGCGGGTGGAATTTCTCGGAAACTTGGAGAATGGGAATTGTACCCTGAAGGTGAAAAACTTAACAAGCAATGACAGCAGAAATTATTATTTCCGGATTGAAATGGGTGAGCACAAGTGGTCACAGCAAACAGGGAGCAGACTGATGGTTTCTGGTGAGTTTCTTCCGGAGTCACTGTCTAATGATATTGTTTACAATGTCAAATGCCATTTGACATGTTTCACACTTTCCCTCTCTTCTTCTATCACTTTCTTTTTCCCTCCTCAACCTCAATTAGTTCTCATCCCCTCTTTTATACTCTCCCTCCACTCAAACTCTTGCTTTCTACCTCTCTGGTCCTTCCTTTCACACTCATAAGTTCCCTCGACACTTCCTTGCCTCCCTCCCTATCCATCCCACCCTCTGTCTCTTTACATCTCTCACTCTCCCACACACACACTCCCTCTCTTCATCTTTGGCACTCTCTTTATGTCTCACACTCCCTCTCTCTTTCCATCTCCCTACCTCTCTCAGCGACTCTCTTTCAATGTCCTCTCTCTTCCCTTCTATTTCTCTATCTCCCAGTCACACACTCTCTTCATCTTTGACTCTCTCCATATATCTCCCTCTACGTCTCTCTCTCTCTCTCTTTCTCCCTCTCTAGGTATCTCTCTTTCAAAACTCTTATCTTTTGGCCTCACTGTCTCTATCTCCCTCACTCTCACTCACTCTCTTCCTCTCTCCCTCTCCCCTGTTTGTTTTCATTTTCTCTCTCATTCCAACACTCACTGTTTCCCTCTGTTTCTCATTCCTATCGGCCCACAAATGTTTAATTAACAAGTGCTCCACAGCTCCTTCTAACTCTCCTCAATCTCTCTCGCACAGGATCCAAATCACAGGCTGCTACTGTGG